TTTCTGTGTTGAGATTCTTTGCCAGGAGACGACTAGTGAAGACTGTGAATCCTAGTGCGTGTACAACAGCGAACTGGAAGGTTCGTAAATCAGCGATAGCGCTGTATTGCCTGTATTTATGTGTTATTAAGAGAACTTTTAACCAAGGTGCTAACAAATCAAGTCATCCGAACTATAACCCATTATTATTCGCCAAGCGCCCCCCCCCCCCTACAGGTGATAATATTCTTTCTGCTTACATACTATTGAGTGGGATGGGGGTCTATTCAGGGAAGGTAAATAAAACAAATCCGTAGAAATATCCAACCTGAAAATTTTATTGCATTTTTCATCACAATTGAGATCGTCTCTTGGTCAATAATATTACTAAGATGAAGAATACATGAGATCACAATAGAAAACTGTATTGTATGTACAGTCATGATAAAGATTCTTCATTCATTGAAGGCGAAGAAACGCCATTCTCCTCCGTAACTTCAAACAGAAACACACGTGCATATTCAAATATTCTCACAGCTATTTATTTTCTGAGGTGAATGTTAAAGGCACTTTCACTTGGAGACAAGTGACAAATTAAGGCCCCAGCAACACTGGTTACAGAACTTCGCAATGCGTAAGACTTCGATCACTTCAAGAATAAGAGAAATAAACTCGATCACTTACAGCTTGCTTCAGGAAATAGATACAAGCAACTCCTGCCGTTTCGTCAGTACCATGGGTATGTTCGCATGCCCTAACTGCAATTTAGACACAGTTCCGAAACCACGAATATTGGACACACTTTTGAGGAGTTCTTGTTGCAAGAGATCGGTATTATGAAGAACATAGGGGTATCAATTGATTTAACTGACCAAGTATAAGAACCAATGGAATCAAATTGTGAACATGGTCATGAAATTTGGGGTTCGACGAACATCACGTCCAGCTACGTGACTATCAGCTTCTCAAGAGGGCTGTACTTAATATAGTTAATTTCCCATTTTCTTAACTCATTCTTATTCTAAGCAGTAAAATTACAAAACGTTGAAAGAATCAGCGAATGTTTGCAACACAGCACATCAGGATTTATAGTGACGCGAGAACCCCATTGGCCTGTTCGCTTCAAACAGTTGACCGCTACGGAGCGCAAGACGTCACTGGCCCTTTAGGGAGAAGGCACCACATTCTAGTAAGGACGTGCTAGATACGGGGCACGCGGTAGCGTAATTGGTTAACGTACTGTGCTACAGGCCGGAAGGTTGCGGGTTCGAGTCCAGATGAGGTGGAATTTTTTCAATTTACTTAATCCTTCCAGCCGCACTATGACCTCGGGGTCGACTCAGCCCCTAACAGAAATGAGTACCAGGAATCTTCCTGGGTGTAAAGGGTGGCCAGCACGTAAGACTGACAACTTTACCGCCATCTGTGAGTCGAATGTCTAGAGAAAATGTGGGAGCTTCGACGTCTCACAACCCTATGGGCCTCCACAACCTGTTACAGGGATAGCTTTACCTTTATTATGTGCTAGATACTCAATCTGGAATCCATGTACAACATATATTTATCTGAAATCGATCTAAAATGTCCTGTTTGTGTGTCCTGCATGACATTCATAGAGAATGGCCTTTTGTTATCTATCGCCATTTTGAGCTAAACATGAATGACACGGCCGAACCTGAGGATCTCACGGCGGTTACTATGGCCGGAAGCCGCACGGTCTTCCAGGGTGTAATGCCGTGTAGTTCGGAGGCAGCCCCATGTTTCAGAGCAACACATCGTCTGCATCTTCTCACATCCTTCTGCTAGTTTCTTTCTTGGCTATTCTCCGACCCTGAAACTGGAGGCGATATGTTCCCCGAAACTTTGGGGTATCTCCGAACTACACGCCATTACATCCCAGAACACTCTGACCTTCATTGCTAACTTAATTTAATTTGTAAATTTCTATCGAAATACAGAAATTCAGTAAGGCATCTTACAAACAGAAATTCTGCACCGGTGTGTTGAGCAGAACTGAATGAAGAAAATGCGTAGAACGGTACTTTATTGTTGAATTGGCAAGGGAAGCATGGAAGGCGTCAACATTCGTTAATTCTTCGTTTATTTTGTGACATGTCATTTTAATTTCCATTAATGTTAACAAATATTAATGTATCTAACCCATATATCGAGGTACTAAGTAAGAAAACTTGAAACTTTCCTTACAAGATCCTCGTGTAGTAGGAAATATTTTGTAATTACAGCCTATTAAAGATGTGGATCTCCATTTATGGAATTGGCAGGTTTGTGCTATAAACAGTACGCAAGAAGGTGATGATAATAATAATAATCTGAAAGACTTTAAGTCCATATAAACTAATTTTTCTTAATTTAAGATTAAAGTGTACATGCTGAAGGAAATTATGTTGCATATAATGAAAGAAGTAACATTTATAATTGTTATAAACAACTGACAAGTTCAGGAGCTCTAACCACATTTAGGTGACTCCAACCCTCGAACCAGGAATGCTCTGTCTCTCTCCCACGTCTCGCAGAATGTATTCCGACAGCTCACTCCTTAAGACATGCGTACCAGAGACAAAAACTTGCTACTCTGCTCATGGACCTCGTGTTTTCCCTAATTACTGCCAAATAGGGATGTGTAGGGTTCAAAAATAGCAAACCTGCAATCCAAAGGAGCTACACTTCATGAATCCCCCCCCCCCCCCCCTTTTTNGTAACGACAGTTTTCCTATCCTGAGAAGCCGTATGGACCATTCATCATCGTCCTCTTCGAATTTTGGGTTACCATAGCAACGAACTGTCGACCGTTAACACACTACAGGAATTCAATTTATGTGGTAGGTCGCAAAGGAGTTAGCAGTCTCTTGTTCCATGTATCGTATCATTTATGTGAGTACTGATAATGTTCTGATTTGGATATTTGAAGTGTAGTATACTAGGTAATGGAGCCTGTTTATAATTGAGTATTTCTGCATGCTATTCATGGGAGGTGGCATTAAACGCCTACCTTCATGCATCATACGATAACATGTACGACTGGAAATGGAAAAAAAAAAACAGCGGAAGTTAGTGGTACGAAAGCTTGTATAGCAGATAATGAGACTTGGACCTCTTTCCTCAACAGGAGCTGTACGGGTCTCTTTTTCATGTGACTAACATCGGTTAGTGCAAAGGATATAGCCTGAACGAAACAATGGCATAAATTGCTGAGTAAACAAATAAATAGATTTTTTTTCGTTAGGTAAACTTCTATGTAGTGCAGCCATTCCTTATACATATATGCTGTGCATATAATATGAGGCAACACAATTGTGTCATTAAAGTTTTTTCCTAAGGTAATTATTTGTCTCCTTTGAGTAATTTCTCAACCATGTATCACGAATATTTGATATTATGTCTACATGTGTCATGAAATGTGATATTTCGCACATATAAATTGCAAAAAATTAATATTCTCTCTATGTGAGCTAAGAAAATTTCATATTCTATCTACAAGTTTCGTGAAAATCTAATATTCGGCCTACAAGTAGGGCGAAAATCTGATCTTGTCTACTTACTGTCCCGAAAATCTGATATGTTCTATACACGCATCGTAAATTCCTTCTATAAAGTTTGCGAGAAATTGATATTCTCTCTACACATATCGCGAAAATAAATTACGTGTACATATTTTGCCACAAGAGAAAGGCCGAAAACTTCTCGCAGTGAAGTAACAAGGTAGGACTGATAAGCATTCCCCTAATTTGCCCTCACTTATACTTTATGTAGGAAGACAAAGGGCGAAAACAATTTGTGCAAAATTTCTCTTGTTTTTTCTAAACTTAATTTTATGAGTTATGAAGTCCTCAGTATGTTAGTGTCTTTATTTGGTGAAGTTGGTGGGACTTAGTCTTTTAAGTTACTGAATAATACTGATGCATCGGTCGCTGGTAGCTTACTTGACAATAAAGCTCGTATAAAAATATTTTTACCATCTCTACAAATAACGTACTTGCAAAATTTGTATTTCGCATTCAAAGCACAGCTTCATAACATACGAACATATTCGTTCATGTTTCCTTTGTTCTCCTTTCCACATTTTATTCGTAAGAAAATAAATTAATAATTCGACTAGCATGTTTGATACCTTAGATATTACAAAAAGAGGCTCATTCTGAGCTATTTACATTTTCATTGGCTTTCATACATCAGCACCAATGAGCCTTCCATTACATTTACAGCAAATGTAAAACAGTTGACCGTCCTGCTGACAGATCTCACACTGTTATTTGCAAGCAAGGTACTGGGATATAGGTGACTTTCGCTATACGCGACCGCCATGTATATAGAAAACGCGTAAAACTGGAAACGCGCCGAGCGAACACGGCTGGAAACTATGGTAAGGCGAGTCAAGGAAACTGCGCGCGCAACTCAGTGGGCATGCGTGGCTGCTTCTACCTTGGTCGGGGTAGGACGTTGATGCTCCTCATAACAGCGGATATGTGAAAACGCGGATAACGAGAGGCACCTGCATTTTGACTGTTAACATTACAAAATGGACATCACGTGATTGAGGATTTGACTTATAATGAGCCATGAGTTTCTCTGTTATTTGCCGGTATTGTCGAGTTCATTTACGAAGAAGCCAAGTGTGACAGATGACTGAATATGGATACTCCTATTTCAATAATTTTGACATGTTGAGGACGTTATCAAGAATTTGTATACAATTCAAATTTTGTCTTTTTATTATTATTTTTTGCTTGTGAAGATCTAATTCTCACTTCGGACAAGGCACTTGGGATAGACCAATCAATATAGTGACTAGGCTACGAGGTGGGCGACCAATGAAACGGGGTTCAATTCCCGGCAGGGGCAAGATTCTTTTTCTCTCTACAGCATCCAGATATGCTCTGTGGTTCCACCAAGCCTCCTATTCAAGTACCCGGGGCTATTTCCCCGGTAGATGAAGGGCAGATCTGTGAAGCTAACCACTCACCTAGATCCAGTGCCGAAGTTAATAATGCGTGGAGCTATGCCTCTACTCCACCATACATCTTCATGGCATGGTGCTCGATTTGTTAAGCACAGGGATAGCTTTGTATTTAGTTATTACTGCTGGACAATATTTACTTTGGCCTGCCAGATATATATAATAGGTTAAATAAAGGATCTCAAAACGGAACACTTGATAAAATAGGAGAGGATCATTTTGTATTTAGGGCTGATGATTCAGAATGGAAGCCACAGAAAGAGTTAAATGAGCACTCTTAAGTTTACACGGACGTCGTGTGTTTTAAGTGCCCTCTTCCGTCGACAAGCTCTGGACTAGCAGAGAGTGTAACTCTGTATCCATTGGTGGCGGACCCAATTTTCTCTTCTCCACCAGAGGACTTTCTTTCATTTCCTCTTTAGTGCCAGCCGCAGTTTTTACTAGCAATTTAAGATAATTCCTTGACCTTTCATTTTTTATTGCGTCAGGTATTTAAGTTTTCCAAATGTTCTCTATGTTTAACAATCAGTTAAGTCATCAAGAGCCCGAAATTCAAAGAAAGAAGTACAGAATCGCAACTGAATAATTCTCTGATTTAAAAAAAGGGCATGTGTGTTGCTAATATGCAATGAAGTCTTGTCTTATAATAATGAACACAATTCCGACGTTTAAGAGATTCTTTCTACGCACATAAACTCCTCACACCAGTTACTAATGACGGAGATAGAGAAGTGATCAGAAATGCAGAAAATTTATTCATCACTGACACGGATGAAAAAACAAAAACTTCATTTTCCGGGCAGAAATTCTGCATGGCCCTTTCTTGTCGAACTTAGGATACGAGATTTCGATTTTATTAAGAAATGTAACGGAAGGGTTGATGCTGATGTTTAGTATGCCACCTCTGCCCCCCAAGGCCGATACGGCTTCATCTGAGAACTGCCACTGCTCGAATTGAACGCATTCTGGTGGTGGCTAGCCGCACTCGGGAAAGAGTTTAAGTTCATGTGATACTGATGATGCGAGTAACCCAGGGGCGACGCTGAGGTCGCCGTCGTTAGCTGCGTCAGAGTAGTCTGAGTCTGTCCTTGCTGCCTCGTCGTCGTCGACGACGTATTGATGGAAGATGAAGGCGTCTGCCCGCAAGACGGCGAAGACGTCGAGGTGATATCGTAGGTTGTCATGCCACCACTTGCGGACGCATCGTGATGGCCATGTTGTGGGGGTGGTGGAGGGGGTGGCGGAGGAGGAATCATTTGTGTGGTTGCACCGGGGGATGGAGGGTAGTGCTGAGGGCCACTGGTGCTACCGTAACTCCACGGGGATGCTGTGGCTACGGCTGCTTGTTTCGTGGCAAGTTCGCGCTGTGCTGCGAAGCACTGAAGGTGAGACATGAGACGCAGGCGCAGTGGGTCCTGGATGTCCATGCCCTCCACGGTGACCAGATAGCGGGCTACCTCGGCGGCGCACTCTCGGAACCCGATGTTGTGGTAGTCCATCGCGAACTTGTGGGGGTCGTACGCCAGGGCGTCCATACCTGTGGGACACAAGACACATACAGCTACAATACAAGGGGCTGTAACATTCCCTGGAAGTAGTGCAGCTACTTCAAATCTTCAAATCGAAAAGCCCGTCTCACGCTTTCACGTTGTGAGAATATTTCATTGACTTACCAACTGAATGCGTTATTTACCACAGAGTCGGACCAGACTAGTCAGTTTGGCGGTAATGCTCTAGACATATATTCGGAAAGGTGCTCGGTTCGCATCTTAGCTACGAAGATGGCTATTATGACTAAAATTTGCTGACTATTTTGAGTCCTTCCAGGCTAATTCTGGGATATTACTCCAGTTAGGCGACAACCACTTCCTTCCAGATTCATTCCAATTCATTTTTATTCAAATAATCCTACTACTCGACGCCATATTGTCTGGATACTGATAGCGTTGTGAACTAAACCACAGAAGAAAGATTGGTGCGTGTATGCTTTATTCCGTGTTTGTGTTGTCCTGTGTGTAGGTAGCGGCCTTGCGACGAGCTCATCACTCTCCCAAGCAGTCCTACCGTCTACAAAATGATTACGGAACTGAATAAGAGGCCTGAGCCCTGAATGGGCTGGAGGAGCCATTGGCAAAAGGTCAATTACCGTATTCGTACATCAACCAACCAAGCCGTCTTCTCCCAACAGGTTTCTCGACGAAAACTGTGTATGCATAACCCATGCATGCTACATGTCACGCCCATGACAACCTCCTTAAATTTTATCCTTTTTATAATATTTAAGGAAGAATAAAATTTATGAACCTCTGCTTCTTTTTGGTGTCTTGCTTGTCTGACGAAGCTCCTCACGTGATATCATCCATCCTCACGCTGCTTCTGCCTTGCGTTTAGATGTTTCGAAATAGGACAGGTTACTCTGGAGTTGCACCAGGATGGAAAAGCACCGCGTGTTCAGCAAGGTCACTCATATAGCTATTTCGCGTCCTCTCATCTGCTGAAAACAGAATCTAGCACCTTTCTTTTGATTTACGATCGTCATCCCATGATGACGCAAGTCCAATGATGATTCAGAGACATTATTTTTCATTCATTCATCAATGGCTCTACAGCCCTTTGTTTGGCTCTGGCCTCTTCTTCAGTTTCGTAATCTTTTTTACAAAGACAGTAGGACTCCTTGGACGAGTGATCAGCCAGTCGCAAGGCCCCTAGCTACACACAGGACAACACAAACACGGAATAAATGCACACACCAACATCTATGCCTCGAGTGAGATTCGAACCCACGTCTCCAGTGTTCGAGCAGGCGAAGACAGATCATGCCTTAGACCGCGCGGCCACTGTGATCGGCTTAGACACATGTTTTTTTTTTTCCTTGGCACTACAGCCCCAGTGGGCCTAGGCCTACCTCCATGAACTCCGTTCACTTTCGGTTTTTCTAGATCATGTGTAAGACTCCTTGGGCTGGTGATCAGCTCGTCGCAAGGCCTCTACCTGTACACAAATACAGAAAAACGCACACAAAATCCATGCCCTGAGTGGGATTCGAACCCACGATCCCGGCTTCCGAGCGAGCGAAGACAGTGGATGCCTTAGACCGCTCGGCTACCGTGACCGGCTTAGACACATTGTACTACTACAAAATTTAAGGTAACTACATTACTTTTTGAAATTGTGGACTGTGTATTAAGATTTCCATGAGAATTACGTAAATTCAACCTAGTTTTCGGGATTCGAATCGAGTACTGCGTACTTCTGCGCTTGTCTGTCGTAAGAATATTGTTGCGGCGCTAACGTTGGCGTGGCAACGAAATACGAGTCTGTACGCGCGTTCTCACGGGGTCAGCTGGCAGGGGAAATTTGTGAGCTGGTTGCGTCACGATTTCATTCCAGCAGCTCCGTATGATTACCGCAGGCAGCGTTTAGTGACCACACTCAACACATGATATGGCGTCCTCCGCAGTATTTCCGTGGCCGTGACCTAAGCGTACGGCTATACGAGTATTTGTGCCCAGGCCCGAAATGTCTCTGGAATTTTAAGAGCCACAAATAATAATAATAATGGGCCGCGCCGTAGCTCAAACGGTTAGTAGCTGGCTTCCCACCGCGGCGGCCCGGGTTCGATCCCGGGTCTGATCAAGTGGGATTTGTGGTGAACAAAGTGGCACTGGGGTCGGTTTTCTTCGAGTACTTCGGTTTCCCCTGCCAATTTTCATTCCACCAAATTCTCCATCATCATAATCACCCGGGGCAGGCTACAATAGGCCGATCACTGGTCGCTGTGCCGAGTGGACCCAGTTGGACTCCACCCCCCAATAAGCGAACTAAAAAAAATTANCACACAACTCTTGACTACACTTTACAGTTCACTGTCACACACAGGCTAGCGTTCTGAGTCTGTTACAGTCTCCAGTAGCCGTTGCTCGGTAGCGGCTTTCAATGGCGGACATTACCCTTCCTCTGGGTTCCCGAACTGTCTTATGCCTCAGCTACCAGCTTCTCACAGCAACAGCTTGCGACGGAACCCCAGCGGTTACCTAATTCACTCTCACTCACTCGCTCATTCCACTGGCTGACTCACACTTCACCGTCATGCTTATAACATCTCAGCACGGACCGCGTAGAAGACACCGCTCCTCTGTTGCGGTGCAATTGTTTAGCGGTTGCATGACGTATTCCATTGTTGCGTACGCAGCCATCGGCACGGACTGCGTAGAAAACACCATTCCTGTGTTGTTTACGGACATTGCTTAGAAACGGCTGTTGTGTCCCTGCTTATTTCGCTGTCGTTGCCTAGCAACGGATTTAGATGCCACATTACTCTACTTCCTCTCTTCATGGCATAGCGCTTGATTTATTAATCACACGGAGAAGTTTACTTTTACAGCATAGACTAACTACATATAAATTAACTACTGCATAGAGAATTCAATTTCGTGTAATATTTGTAATATAACATTAGGTTTGCATACACCAAAATTGCGTCGCCGTGAAGGACATGCATGGTTTTACTTATATACTTCCATAGTTTATTACTTTATGCTTACTTAATTGTCAGCAGTGTTTTAAGCACAGATCTATTTTAAATAATTAATGCAAAATTAATGTAATTTTTTTTATGACTGGACGTCCCTGAAGCTTGAGCTTCGTATAGAAAAAAAATGCGAACCCGGATTCGAACTGGGAACCCACTGGGCTGCAGCGCGGGCGACCGTCACGCTGGATCAGATCATGATTCAGACGGAACAGAGGAGTGGGGGGAAGGGGGCTGTGGGTAAGGTGAGGGAGCAAGAGACAGACGTGGCTTCTGCTCATCTTGCCCCGTGGGAATGGCATGAACCTCGCCGTGGGGCCTCTCAGGACCGGTACTCCTCGTGGCCCAGTGCGAATCTGTACACTTGAGAACCGTAGCATATTGGGTCCTTGCTCACTTTACCTCTTTTCATTAATAATTTGAAGGTTGAGAAGAAAGGAAAGACGGAAAATAAACTGGAGCGTAGTGAGAGACAATGCATTTCGGGGACAGCACTACTTTGAAGGTGTCCTGTCAGTGCCCGCTCGTCCTTCTGGTAGAGGGTAAAGCGTTGGGAAGTGAACAAAAGTAAATTGTTAGGAAATAACTTAGTTAAAATCAAAAGAAAGAAATTCAGCAGAGGTTTCATTGAGCATCACCGGAATTTTGATATTAACGTTGGAAGGGAGGAGTTAGAGCGAAGCTGAAATTCGCGTGAATAGTATTTAAAAATTCAGTTCCTACTTCACATAAATCTCATTATGTCTCAATTGCAAGGACTAATCAGTTGACGTTATTTAGGGAAATAATCGCTGTTTGTTCTGAGAATCATACGGAGCACGTGGACACTGTGCACTTTGTGTCGTCATAGAAGCGCCATTGTTGTCACTGTCACGGTTCGCAACTGTCCTGATAACTTCCTAAATTGTTGAGAGTAACCCTAAACACCGCTTAGAGCAAATACGACATTCCGCGCGGAATTCACGTAGATGTTTCTCGATGTGGTTAAGTGGAGATTCACGCTCCGCAGTCTTAACCTTGGCATTATGTGCCTGACCATAGGAACAGGTCGTTACTGTTAAGGCAACATATCAACAGGTAGTTCAGGCAGTCTGGGCACAGTCAAACCACAAATTAACAAGGTACGGAGCCTAGAACAAGGTTTCTCCCCTTATCGTCAACTTGTGGTGGTGAATTTCGGGCAAAATATCTTANAGTTAAGGCAACATATCAACAAGTAGTTCAGGTAGGCTGGGCACAGTCAAACCACAAATTAACGAGGTACGGAGCCTAGAACAAATTTTTTCCCTTATCGTCAACTTGTGGTGGTGAATTTCGGGCAAAATATCTTAGACCAGCGATCCCCAAACGTTTGTTGCACATTTAGAATATTGTGTCAGTGAAATTAAAACAGGGAGCTAAATTCTATAAGAACCGCACATCTATTCTTTAAATTGTGCGATTTATTGTATAAATATAAAATTCTCTTAAAGATGAACACGACGAATTTTATAACAAATATAAATTTAAAAAGATGTGCAAGTGTATGTTTTATATAGCCATTCTTTGAAACCTTTGGAAGCCCATAGGAAAAGATCGCGGTGCACAGGTTGAGAAAAATATCTTAGAGGGTACGTCACGCCTTGAATATGCAACCTTATAGAATAAATATTCCGTGTATTCAACTAAATCTCCATTCACTTTGTTTCCCATCGTACGTTGAAAATGCAATCGCGTAATATGCTGCTGTTACGTGAAGCAGACTACGCGGTAGTACGTAACTACCCTATATATATTTTTTTTTTAGGAGTCGTTCCTTCTCTACGAATTAGAACTGAAGATGCAGATGGAGGAACAGAGAATTTGCTCCGGTATCACATTTATGCGGTCTCGTTCGCCTATCATTTTAGTCACTTCCCTCAATGTCGCGGAGGTAGACACTTGTCCATTCAGTGGAGACGCTCCAGAACACCAAGTACAGTCACGTGTGTTTCATGAGTTAGGGGTCCATCCTACTTGATCGGAGG